GCAGGATGTAGTGTGGTCTAATGGAGGTGCGTCTGCAATCTTTTAACACACATGGCTCTGCACACTTCAATCTTGTACTGTCCACTTCAGTTACATGAAGAGCAAAACATTTCTTTGTTCATCTATACTCTTGTGGAATCACATTGAAACTCAAAGTTTAGATAATAAAGAAAAGAATTGAAGAAAATTGAATAATGTTGGGTATTTTCACATATTTAAATGTTATGTTAAGAGGGACATATGAGTGAAAAGAAGAAAAGAGGATCTGATGAATCTAGGTTTTCATCTGAAATACAGTAGTGTCTGAATCCTTGAAGAAAATATTAGAGTGAAAAGTATTATTATGTAAGGAGAATCCATGACTGCACTTCCCCTGGTAATAATAATCTTGCCTAAGGGTACTTTGGAGGCTGTGACAGCTGAAAAGAGAGGAAAGGAGGAATAAATAGAAGTGTTCCTTTTATCGACTCTGCCAAACTCATAGGCAGTGTCTTCCAGGTTCAGAGGTTCAGAGAAGACAGCGGCAAAGGTATCTGCTGTCTGTTACAAGTATACAGCATTTTTATAACCAAAGTCACAACAGGACAGACGCAATTCTTGAAATACAGCATAGTTAAAGGCTTGTCTTCTATATATGTGTTTGTTCTTGCTGTTGGTACGATTCAGTATCTATGTGCCTGGTCATCTTTGATTGTTGTTATTCAGACATGCTGTGCTATTCAGGTTTATGCTGCCTCTTCACATAATACTATATGTTCAGTAGACATTACACTTTAAGACAATGTAGTTATACATACCACATTTCCAGATGCAAACACATGCACACAAAAGAGCGGATCACTGCTGGATTTTATTAAGATGTGTCAAAATACCGTTTACCTCTTTATGCTTTAAAGTTCATTTTATACCCTTGCTCAGTCTTTAAACTGTGCCATCCAGTTTCCGGAGTACAATGTGTATGCATAGCTGCTCCAACCACCACAGTTGCCATTATCTCCCAGCAGTACTGGGCTTCCTATCTTTCTACATTTTTGCTTGTACTTTTTGAAATCATGTGCAATTTGCTTGGCTAGGGCCACATCCTAGAAACAGACCGTGTCCGGGGAACCGCTATCAGGTACTGCACAGTCCATTTCCAAGGGGGCTGTTTCCAAGTGACTCTAAACGGAATAGCTCTGAGCTGAATCCAGAATAGGATTTGGCAGAGAACTGGTGCTCCACAACAGACATGATCCCAGATTATCATTTAGTGTGGTTTACCATATAGCATGCATTGTAGTCATTCCTTAGAAAATTTTATTATAATAAATTCCCAGTACTTATTTAAGGCATTTAGTTGTAATTAGGACTCCATTTCCTGCGTCCTGCCTTCCATAATTGCACATTAACTTTACTATTTTTTATCCCTGATAAAGAAATTTTCCTGCAGATTGGGGTTATGGGTTGCAAACAAGATAAACCATATTGACAGCACATAAAAAATCATGGAAGTATAGCACTGAAGGCTTTTGTCTCATTTGCTTTTAAACTTGTTTTTAAGAAATAGAAAAACACCTTAAATTTGATTATTTTGATAAAAACATAGCTTCTGTTTTACTGGTTGACTAGTGTATGACTAAGTGATGATGTTATTAAAAATGTTCTTCAGCACGTAGCATTACTCAATGGATTGAGAAGTTTATTAATTTTTAAATCAGTATCAATCCTATTGCTATGTATATCATTACATGTCATGCCAGTAAAAAAGGTTAGGGATTACATTTAAACTTCTTCTGAAAAATGAGATGCTTAAGTTAATATATTATTATTTCGAACTCAACCTGAGTTCAAATTTTGGAATAATTATAAATGATGTTATTGTAACACACCTTTGCTTATCTTTGATATATATTGCCTTACTTCACAGAGTATATAGAGGTCTTTAAATAGTTCTAAATAATTGCCTTGCCTCTAACAACTAAAGTCCGTTTTCTTTTATGAACTTTAATTTAAGCATGATTATTGAACAATAGACAGAAATAGGCAAACTATATCGGAGAAACCAAACCCTGTCTGAAAATAATCGTAGAGAAGTGTTACCTGTGGTTTCTCAGCTCTCAGTCTTTTCTCAATGTCTACTGACGGTCACTGTTCGATACACGGGATTGGCCTAGATGGAGGTTTGATCTGATCATATGTTTATTCCTCAGTGCTTATGATATTTCTGAAAAAAAACGTGATGAAAAACGTAAGGTTTGGATCATCAGAAACAACAAAATAACTGCGGAATTTAGTTCCCATTCATTTAAATCGGTCTTTTTATAAAATAAAAAAAAACCAAAACGGTCTTGTACATTAAAATCTAATTACGGTCCAGACGTAGTTTTCAAAATCCAGCTGTCAGGCATTTTCTTATTTCTTACAGCAGTTTTAATTAGCTTTATGTATTGTATCTCTACTTTCTGCTTTATTCCCATTCTTGTACTTTAATGCAGTTTATAATTCATTCCCATAGCAACAGAAGTACCCTGGCAGCAACTTAAAATATTTTTTAAATGCTTTCTCCACTAATGTGTAACATCTGTATGTTCAGGACTGTTATTTGATGATAAATCATTAACTGGATTTATGAGCTCTCAAATACAGAAATTGAATTGTTCAATTCTTTTACTTTTTTTTTCTCTTTTCTTTGGGACTTATTTATCTTTAAGTGCCAAACTTCTCTTGTTTTCTTTCTAGAGGGTCTGAATGCTGACAACATTAGACAAGCCTCAGAGCAGCTGAAGAGCCGCTGGATTGAGTTCTGTCAGTTGCTGAGTGAAAGACTGGCATGGCTGGAGTACCAAAATAACATCATTGACTTCTACTCCCAGCTGCAGCAACTGGAGCAGACAGCAATTATTGCAGAAAACTGGCTGAAAGCACAACCCACACCAGCAACAGATCCTGCCACAGTAAAAACTCAGTTGGAAAAATGCAAGGTTAGAGATTCTTCTCCAAGTTTTTTGTGATATTGTACTTCATAGGTGTTCCAACAGTGGGCCAGATTATGACCTATATTATTTCAATGTAAAAGTGGAAGATGGACTCCTCCTCTTTCCAAGGTAATTATTGAAAATATTTTTTCAAGGTAAGGAAGGACTGGTAAAGAAATAAAGCGGTAGTAGAGCCTAGCCTATGGGTATTTAAAACTCTGCCCCAAATATTTAGTTATTAAGATACTTAGATACCTAAAGCTAGGAAACTATGCCCCTAAACTCTTTTTCCTTTTTTTTTCCTGTAAGAATCTGTCTCTTTGGTTCTTCATTAAGAAACTGTTGCTCATCACCTCTGTCATAAGGATCTGGGCCAGAAAATTGTCTTCATGGTCAAGTCCAAAATTCTGCCATTGGAGACCGCTTTACTTGTTACATACCCTGCATTTTGATGCAGGGTGGATTATGTAGTCAAATGGAGGAATGTTCTTCTGTCACCATACGATAGAATTACAATTGTTGTACAAAAACAGTCACACCCATTCACTTCTTACTCTCCCTAAATGTTTTCATTTTTGTGCTGCACCATCATAGAAATTTGCTTCTCTCTCTTACTGTAGACAACTCTGTGGGTAGAGATTACTTACAAGCTAATATTATTTGACAAGAATCTATTGAGATGGAGTAATGAATTATAAATTGCACGACATGCTTGTAGTTTGACTTCGTGAAATCTCTGGCTCCAGAATTTCTCAAACTAAAAACAACGTTTGAACCCCAAATCTAGATCTATGCTATTCTATTTTCAGGCATTTCCAAGCTGGCATTATGCTTACAGGGGTTCTCTGTTTTCTTGCATAAAGCTTTTCTTACAGTAGCTCTACTATGAACTGTACATTTGGCTTACTTTCCTCATTCCTTTTTACTTAGTAGTTGCAAGTGTCACAGTGTGTACAAGGTCTCCTGAAGGTATAGTAGCACAACCCCCAACCTGTAATGTGTTACTGTCAGGCTGCTAGAAATCAGTACGCATCTTCATGTCTCCTTTTCTACTTCATGCTATTTAGCCTGTATATAATCTAAGAGAGATGAGTCCAGGATTATGGGACATGTGGAGTTTTTATCTTCGCAGCTTGACATGAAAAGGATGCTCTTTGGGCATGGAATTTTAGTGTACAATCTATCTTATTTTCTTTGAGCATTACACTACTAATATGATAATGTCATGTGAAAGTGACTTTAAACAATGGTAAGAGCATCATATTGGGAGCAGAGGTATTGATTTGTGAGAAATGATTAAAAATGTTGAATTTTTTCTTACTGTAACTGATGTAGTTGGAAGCAAAACAGTTGTGCAGTGTGCATTGAAACAGTGGTGATTTCATGGCACTAGTGATTTCATTTGTTGGACAGCTTTATCTTGATGGTTTTTGTTCAAAAATGCAGGACGAAATCATCCGAATGTCAACCCTTCAGCCTCAAATTGAACGGTTAAAGGCTCAAAGTCAAGCGCTCAGAGAGAAAGAACAAGGGCCAGTGTTTCTGGATGTTGACCTTGCTGCTTTTACCAGCCATTTCAAACAAATTCTTGCTGACATGCAGGCCAGAGAAAAGCAGCTACAGACCAGTAAGTGTTCATGACAAGAAGTCAATTTGCCTGACTAGCATGCAAAGAACAGGTGCATATATTTTGCTTTCCTGCTTTTGTATTTGCTTGTGCCACGCTAAGCCAGTACTACAATTTAGGTGGTCTTCTTTGCAATTGAATTAGTCTTTCAGAAATTATCAGTGTGTTATATATTTTATATTGATAGGAAAACAAGGGAAAGTACACTATTCGGCAGCAAAGGTTGCACTCAATGTAGTTCTACCCTCAGATCTCCCCTTGTTAGCATGTTTATGGGCAGATTCATTGATGTTTTTTGGTGACATAAAACTGTCTTTGTTTAGCGGGTTATGACACAGAGCTGTCTACCTCTGTCAGTAGAGAGGAGAGAGAGTTTAATTGAAGGAGTGAATCTGCTCTAGATTTTCACAGAATAAAAATTTAACTCCATAAGCTCATCAAAGAGAGTAGCTACTTTAGGGTATCTAGTTTTTCATCATCTGGTGAACTGTTCTTTTTTGCAGCACAGAATATATGACTGCTAGGTATAACATTATTTACAATATTTGTAATAAAATGCATTTTTCAAAAGGGGGAGAATGCGATACCAAAATAGAAAATTGACTGTATTCCTTATTAGAGATATGTAGCATGTCAGTGACTACTGCACACTTTCTGTATTTGATTATGAAATGAAAATAAAGTATTGGATAAAAACATAATTTAATTTTCCTCAGCAGTGAAGAGATTATTTGCTCCTTAAACCAATGATATCTGTAAATGACTGTACTGTTTTGAAATTACACATAGTGCTAGCTCCTTCTAGTGGATCTTTATAGCGTTCCTCCTAAATTCTTTCATAGAATCATAGAATCGTTTAGGTTGGAAAAGACCTTTAAGATCATCCAGTCCAACCATTAACCTAACATTACCAAGTCCACACTCATGGAGAGGTTTAACATGATTCCGTTTTTAAAGATGGATTTTTTTTCAACAACACTGCATTATTGTGCTGCTGTGGTTATTTCACACATGCACACACACGCAAACTGAAGAGTTGATGGTGCATAGGAGAACTGAAGAAATAAAATGCCAGTGTGCCATAGCATGTGATGAAAGAATGAGCTGTAGAAATTTAGTATCAAGAAGTGTAAAGTCTGTTCATGACTCTGAAGTCAGGCCATACAATGGATAAGATTTTAAAACTTTTAATGCTACACCGGTTTATATGTTGAAATCAGTTACCATTCTGCCAACAGGAAAATATGGTAAATGCTAGCTTCTTTATGATTTCTTTTATATTGTGTAATTTTGTGTAATTGCTGGTTTTGCCTCACCTAATTTTACTATAATGAGACCTTGTGATCTAACCAGTTGGTTAGTACTGTAAGATGAGCACTGTTCATTGCCTGAACTGTAATGCCACCAAGCAGGGCCTCTGGTAAAGTTCTTCCTGGCTGTAGCTGTTCACTCCCGCTCCTGTGCTGCAGTACCCTCCTCCAGTGTCCTGGCCACCTACAGAAGCAGCTGTCCTGAGGTGGCAGCATTGAACAGGCTGGGGAGAGTCTCCTAAACAGCTAGAGAGCAGAAGTCCCTGAATCTATATTTTATGGAGCCCTGGTCTGTTGCTATTATTTTATGTGGCTGCTCTGCATCACAGGTGCTTCATCTCAGTGGTCCAGCTGTCAAGATGAAACTGTGTTATCCCGTACAGTACATACCTGTAGTGATATTGTAGGTGAGATTATTGTGTCAATCATATTTTATCTTCAGAAATTTTATACACAGTTTTATCCAAAGTGCTAACTTCCTTTCACGACTCTGCTGTAGATATGAACGATCATGCTTGGGATACTGCATTAGGTCTAGTCCTGTTTCAGGAAAGTCTTATGAATCAAAAAAATGTAAAAAAAAACCCTGAAGCTGAAGTGAAGAAAATTTGGCTCTTGGAGTCTGAGTTTCTTCTTCTTTCTTCAATGACAATTTTTCTTCTGTTGAACAGATGGAGAAAAGGACATAACCCATGTCTTTATTTTAGCCTTATTTTTATAGAAAATGTTGAAGTTTTGCTAGAGCATTTTAGATATTTCCATCTTTTATCTGTGTAAATTATTTGCAGTTAATTAGTTTCTATAGGTAGATGAATTTCTTAAAGACTGAATGATGTTTTGCAGATCAGTGGTAATATTTGTATTTGCTCCTTTTTTCTTCCCTGTACGTATAACCTACACGTGCTAGAAAGATTCTTTTCAATCATCATTAGGGGTTTTTTTATGTTAAAAGGATTTTTGATTCATCATTTGGGGTTTGTGTTTTGGGATTCTTTTTTTTTTTTAATCTTCCATTACTCCATTATCTTTTCTGATGGATAAGGGTATTTAGCTATTCTCTTCTGTTTTCCAAGGGAATATTTTCTCCAAAAAAAAGTTTTGTCTAGTTCTAAGAGATTGTCTCCCTCAAATATTTTTTGTTTGGTTGGGTTCTGGTGGGTTTTTTTGAGGATGGTAGTGGTTTTGTTTTGGGGTTTTTTTAGGTTCAAGAGTGCTTAGTAGTTTCTCTATGCTGCATAGTAGATTTCTTAATAAAATATTATTAAGGATTAACTCAGATTTTCTCAAATGTTTTTTCTCCATGATTTGATTAGCACTTCAGTTATAAAACCTAATTTAAAGCCAATTCTGAAACCTATTTAGTTGTTTTTTCACTATTTGGCAATGTCGTTTATGAAAGAAATACAACCTCATAAAATATGAGGAAATATGACCTCATTTTTCTTACTTTATAGAATGTCTGTATATCCACAGGTAGTTGATCCTTTTGAAGATAGTGTATCCATCATTCCAGCTCTCCCTCCTCCCCAAACACATTTAGAGTAATTTCTAGAATACTGGTATATAGAAAAAATAGAGGTCAGACGGTGCTTCAAACTATTCAGTAATGTACACAAGGGAGTGAAATGGAGAATCATGGCAATAATCCAAATATGAATAATGTGATTTCCCAAGGGAATTCTTAGTTTTATAATTGCCCTGATGAAGAACAAGGGGATAAACTTTATATTTATTTGTCTTGAAATTAACTGCTGCTGTGTCAGAGAGCTTTCTAGGGAGCTGCCTGGTCAGCCTCCCATTCCCTTTCAACATAGGGAGAGTTGCCAGTCAGTGTCAGGTGAGTACTCCCTGGCTCAAACTACTTCCCAGGTGGCAGCTGATTCATTCCAGCACTCGTCTCGTGCTGTGACTGGACCAAACTCCATTAAGGTGCTTCTGGTTTTCAGTTTTGCTGTGGTGAACTCTTACCCTGCTATGGTCTTCAGTGAGCAGCGTTCTGATACATGTTCTCAATTTGACAAGACTGTTCTTCAGAGAGGGTTTGGAGAGTGTCATTAGATTTTTAGAAAGTAACTATAAAAAAAAAAAAAAAAAAAAAAGCTTTTGTGGAAGGGGAAATTAAGAATACCAAGATGGAGATGGCAAAGGAAAAGTCATAGTTATTTCCATTTCTCTCTGCTTCATAAATTCATGCACTGTGCTTTCCTTTCAAATTCTGATTCTACCTTTGTAGGATCAGTAATTCCTGAAGGTGAAGTCATCATCATTGTTGTGGTTGTTGTTATTATTGTTGTTGTGGATGATGAATCATTCATCTGCATTTAAATGATGTTTCTCCTATTTATTTCAAGAAGGACTTCAGAAAGTTTTTGCCTTCTATATCATGTCAAGTTTCTTTAGACTTTTTATTTACCCACCCCATGCTTACAGTTATTTTGCACGTACACCACTTTTCTCCCTAATCCGCTAGTGCAGTATCTCAAAGAGGGTTGCATTACATAGTGTTCATGCAGCTCAGTCCTGGCATAATTTTGGAAGACAACAACCTGCAGTAACCATAAAAGTATGATGACCATTTGGAGTTTTAGTCTGACATTTGCCTGCTTTCGCTTAAACTTTGAACTGCTAAGTTATTTTCAGGCTCTAAGTATCTTAGAGATGGGTTATAAGTGACAGTGAAATTCTTACAATATGTATAATAATCTTTCACCAATCATTGCATACTTGAGAAAGAAAAAAATTAAGCAAGTGTCTGGTAAATTTCATAACTGTAGGTTTTTCTTAAGACCTGAACTATGATTTAGTAGCAATAATATTCATTGCTGTTTGGTTTTGAGGGATAAAGTTTGCTTAACTTTCTTTGAATGTGCCTTTTTTGCTGAAGATACAACTCAGATGTGTGTGAGAAAATATTATTTCAGTAAGTAATTACATGCAGGTAATTTCATTTTTCTTCTGCATCCATTTTCTCTGGTAATTATCTTTTATTTAAATAAACAAGGAAAGGACAAATGTCCTCTACCCTGTAGGTCACGTTATCCTTTTCCTCCATGGTAAAAATGAAAGTTTATAAGGATGGGAAATAAAACCACCTAAAAAATGTTGTATCTTTAAAAGATATTTACAGTTACATTAGATCTTGTAAAACTGGAGAAAGGATTCCCTTCTGTTTCTTTTAAGAGGTTTGTAAGGGAATTGCAAGTGTTGAAGCACTTGCAGAACATTGATTATGTATTACACAAGATTCCTTATAATTCCACTTTGAGTTTCTGGTGAATGATGTGGGAGAGGGGAATCACAGTTTTTATGGAGTCAGCAATATAAAGACTTGGATGAATAGCTTCAAGTACTTGTATTACAAAATAAGCAAAACAAAGTTGTGAGAAATCAGCATGGTTTTAAACAGTGCAGTAACTACTGAGGAGAATGTATTTTATGGGAAATATGTTCAGTTCAATCTAGTTCATTCATTTCAGGGAATAAGTCTTTATTGAAGTGATCCCATAGATTATATTTATTGCCTTTCTTCTTCTTTCACAATGATGTGATGAACAGTGGGATTTGTCCTGAGTGTAGGAGATACACATTGAAGCATACCCAGTGTGATTTGATAGTTGTTGAGATAATTGTATTCTCATTTCATTTCTGATTTGGGAAAAGATTTTTGACTGGAAAATCTGGTCACCAAAAAAGGAAGCTGGAAGGAAATATGAAGAGAAAGTATTTTACTTATTTGGAAAGCTATTTTCACATATTTATATATTTCTACTTATTAAAAATATATCCTAACGAAATATCTATCTGCACATTGTATTTCCAAATTTAAGCATTTTCTCTAAAATAAATGTGCAAGTATAAATGTATTTGCCTGTCAGTTCTCAAGGGTTACAATGTTAGTCACACCAAAATGCTTTCC